TGACTTTGAGCAAATATACTGTGAAAACGAAACCAATTATATATATCATAACACAGAACATATATCAAAGAAACAACTATCTGACTATGTTCAGTAAAACTCCCAGCTGTATTTCATCACTGTATAAAGTGTTTTTGTTCTGTTTTTCACAAATTTGTTACCTGATTCTTTTTACCCCATAGGCGAGGTAAATTGGGACGGTCAGGGGCCAACAGGTGCAATGTTATATTTTAATTTCGAAGGAGTTTTACATAATAATAGCTACTTTATTCAACCAATGCAAAATATAAATTTTATTTTTTGGTGCTTTTTTGCAGAGTTAACACTACTGTAAATAACCCTGATCTAGTATTTTGTCAGAAATATTCATTAGCAGAGTTGAAATAACTATTTATATCATATATCTCTTTAAAAAATTGCCTTTTTTACATCTTTGTCAGGGTAAAGGTTTAGTTTGACCTATTTACTCTACCCAGGTGTAAGCTTTTATAGAGGTTATATAAAAAAGCCTACAAAACAATTAAATAACGTATACATAAAAATTATATTAAGATCTCATAAACTAAACAACAGTACTCACGCCCAAAAAACTAAAAACTATAATAAATAGTTTTGTTACGGATTTTCAAACATTTCCGTTTTTCTCACGATAACAACGTCATAAGAATCAAGGTGGTGGACATTTTTTCCTTCTACTTACAAATATTGTGGTTAAAATATTCTTAACTTTACTGGTTTCTGAGATATCGGTGGTGGACTTTTCTACCCGCGGACGTTTATATATATATATATATATATATATATATATATATATATATATATATATAATATATACTAACAAAGTGTAATAATTCAGTAAAATACATACTTTTTTTAAAGTTTATTTTACATCCATACGTTTCAGTTATAATACTTGCCTTCATTCAAAGAAAAAAAAATAGTTAATCTTAGTTAGTGTTTAAGCATGAGTTTAGAATCACAATATAAATAAATATATATATATATATATATATATATATATATATATAATCAATTCAGGAAATTTCTCTTTGAAAGACGGGTGTGACCTATATACGGATTTATTGACTTGTAAGCACATTTCCATGTCATATAACTTCAAAAATCCTAAGAATTGAATATAGTAGGCAATACGATTGTAAAAGTTACTATAATAATCTAGAAGAAATAACATAATTCTAATTTAGATTTATACGTAAAATAAATTAAATTCTTCTTAATTGAGAAGATGCGAAAATATTAATATGGTTCGAGAAGAAGCTATGCTTATGTATGACTAAAGTGTAAATATTACTAGATAGTGAATTTATGCTATTTTCCGAAAATATTTGTCATTATATTACGATTTTTTTTAATATTGTCATCGACTAAAAGTGTATATAGATCTTATAATTTTACTGGGAGTTTTATAATTTTCGATCTTGTAATGTTACTGGAGACTTCATAAAATGACAAGAGTTCTAGTTTGATATTTAAAATATATTTTTGTTATTTTTAGTTTTATGCACTATCATCATCTATGTCAATCTTGTCAGAATATAGAAATGTATGGAACCTTATATTTAGCAAAAGCTCTATCAAAATCGAATACATATGTAGTTATTAAACATTTATTTTTCACTTCATAATAGCCATTTTTAGTTATGTTGTGAGTTTTGTATTAATTCATGCAAGTTTGTACTTACAATCAGTAGTTTATCGCGAAATATGTATTTACAATATAAAAATACGAACCACATGTATAGAAATTATATTTATTTTTAATAATATGCATGATATTGTCATATCTATGCTGGTCCGTTATTTTTGACAGGTAATATAAAATTAATTTATCATACAATTTTGGTTTGCATTATTATTATCGACTTACTTTAAATTTTATATATCTTATTTTGTTTCCACACGGTTGTGGAAATATTTTTACTTGATTCAGTAGAAAAATAATTATAGCAACTATTAATCAATCAGTGGATCTCAATATAAAGTAATTAAAAATAAAACTGTTACAACAATCCCTTAACGTCGTTGGTATATTTTTTAAATGTACCAACATAATTATGTTAATTTTCTTTACCAATTGGTTATCGATGATTAAGGTTTACATTTTGGCTGTTTTATTAATGTTTGCTTAGCATTCGAATAATTTAAAAAGTTCAGCAAATTACTTTAGCGAAACTAATATTTGTTTTTTTATTGACTTTGTATATACGTACGTTAGTCATATACATTTTATAAGTTATCTTCACACTTTTATTTTATTTGATTGTATATAATTGTATAGTGCACCATATATCCTTTTCTTTGTCAATAATTTTATAAAATTAGTTGAGAGGGAAATGTTTTGGTTTACTATCTCTCTCCATAGTTTTTGCCTATCCTTCTCCCATTTTTTGCACTTCATAATGGCGTGCTCAGCATCCGCCCTAGTCGCTCCACCCAAGCAATAGCAATTAGGATCAGCATTGATCCCAATTCTACTCAGGTGAAACGGAGTGTATGTATGGTTAAATCTTAGTCTACATATTGTGTTAACTAATATTGAAATATCACTGAAGATTTGCGCATATAGCTCTAAATAGAGTACTTTCATTTTGTTCTAAAACAGATTTCGGCGGACGGTTATTTCTACACTTATCAAGTTTTATTCTTCGTCAGTTATAGATATACGACTATACATCTTTACGTAAACAATATTACGATTTTGTCTCTGGTTCGTTACTAGAGACATATGTATACAGTTCTGGATTTACAGTAGGGGCAATCGGGGCTACTGCCCAGGGCGGCAAATTTTGGGGGGCGGCAAAATTTGGATAGTGAGAAAAAATTCTATTTAATATAATCAACTTTTTTTAACAACATTTTTTATTTCAAGAAATATAATTAACAAAACATAATACGATTTCAATGCAAAATTTGGGTTGGAATAAACGTTAACTAAAATTTATTATTTTGGCTTGCCTCTCTCTCCGAACGTAAATTATCAAACTGGTTAATAAGTTATCAAATTTGGCAATTTGGCTAATATAAAGATCCGTAAACAAGCTGAAAGTATAAGAAAAATATGTTCTTCAGTTCGAGCCCTCTTAAAATGACGTATTTGTGCACTTCCAAGCTTATAGCGTCGAAAAAAAAATTAAACTAGTGACTCATGGCATTGTGCCTTAAGACAAATTACTGAAACATTCCGTACTGAAAATTACATTTTATAAAGAGCTTTAAATTTTATTGAAAAAAGAAAAAAAACTTCTAAAACACATTTTTTGTGTTTTGAAATTTTTCGAAAATTATGAACTTTTTGCAAAGCAATCGAGCTGCGTAGCTGTTTCAGAGAAGAAATATCGAAACTCAATTACCATTTTTCGTAATTGCCTGTACCAAAAGCTAATCAGCACGTCTCCCCATCAATACAAATCTAATATTTTTTAATTATTCAAGTCGATTTCGAGAACACAGATCAACCGATTTATATTCAATTCCTATTGATAAAGAGACGTGCTGATTAGTTATTGGTCAAGGCAGGTCAAACTGTTCTGAAGATACGAGACAAAATGCCAAAAATGATAATTCAGTTTTTGAGAAAAAAGCGTCCAATAACATTCAAAAAAATTTACAGAATAAATAACTGCTTAAATTTGTGGGGGGCAGGTTCAGCGGTTTCGATGATCCAATAAAAAAATTTAAAAAAGAAACATTTGGCAGACAAAAGTAATCATAAGACATAGGCACATTAAATTATCAGATATTTTAAAGATATTATAATAATAAGTATAAATTTTGTTTACATTTATATAAGTTCTGTAACATTGTTTATCCGTTAGACTGCGACGCGGCGCTTACGCGCTTCTATATTTTGTCCCAGGCAGCTGAAGCAGCGCGATTGCTTTAAAAAAAAGTTCGAAAGTTCGTAAAATTTCAGGGATGAGGCGGCATTTTTGTCAGCGCCCCGGGGTCAAATTTCTAAATCCGGCCCTGTATGTGTATATGTATTCTATTCTATTACTATTCCCAGGAATCTGCCAATCGCAACCGAGTGGACGTCGCCGAATCGGTGCGCTTGGACGAGGGAGTTTTCCCTGTCCCCGGCGTGGATGATTCGGGCGACACTGAAGGCGCTTTGCAGATCGGGCCCGTAGCGGCGAACGTCGATCTCAAGACGGATGCTGGGAAACAACTTGTATCGAGGCCTAATGATACAACTGTTATGCAGACTCGAGACCAGGGCTTGCGCTACAATGCTGTAATACCTGATGCCTCACTAAGGTAATAACGAGGAACATGATATAACAGCAACATATTAGTTATCACATGTTATTTTGTCTCCGTATAACTGATATCACACGGTTTATTATCATCGTATCATCTGTTTTCTACCAATATTATATTTCATGTTTCAAAACTCTTTCAGTGTGTGATGAAATTATTTACTTTTCACATGAGTTCGTTTATCATGATAACTTTGAAATTAATTTTCTATTTTTATTAATTGTAAGGTCCTTTTTAATTTAGTAGAGTTTAAAATATATAGATTTTGCATACGTTCATTATTTATTAAAAATGTATAATACTAATAATTCAAATATTTAAAACTCCTTTTTGAGTGAGCGGATAACGACCTGATTAGAATGATTCGAAAAACATTTTTCTTGTTTTGACTGTGTGAGGAGATTATTAGTTCTCAAGGAAGGCAGGCCCTGCGGTTTCGGAGATATGGAGAAAACAATTCCAAAAATAGGCATTTGATGGTCATAAATTATTACAAGAAATATGTAAATCATATTATTAACGATAAAATCGAATATTTACACATACCAGGAAGTTCATACAAGTTATATTATAAAATTATGAAGAATTAATATTTTTCTGAAAATATACTTTTTAAATAGCAAGGCTTTAGATTCTTTCTAAATATAGATTGATTAATAATCTTCTATATTTATAAAAATAAGTCGGGTTTTCCTTCCTGACGAAATAACTCCAGAACGCACGAACCGATTTCGACAATTTTGCATTTGTTGGAAAGGCCTCGGGCTCCGCAAGGTTTATAGCTAAGAAAATTAGTTGTGCATGGCATCGTGCCTTAATGCAAGCTGCTGGAACTTCACGCATCGTAATTAAAAATTCGAGTAATGACATTAGTGAGAATTATCAGAATTATGCTTGGTTAAGTCAACGAGCAATTCTTGCCGCAAAGAATAATGATGTACACGCACTGAATTTCACCATTCAATCAAAAATTTCTGGCGATTTGGTGACATGCCATTGATTCCGACTGAATTTCCGTTTGACTTCAAACGATTGCAATTTCCAGTTCGCCTTGCGTTCGCAATAACGAGTCGCAAGGCCAATCGCTTAGTGTTTGCGGGATAAATTTCAAATAGATTATTTAGAAAATCATTGTTTTTCACATGGGCAATTATACGTTGCCTGTTCACGAGTTGGAAAACCATCCGCTTTGTTTGTGTTAACGTCAGACCAAAAAACAAAAAATGTGGTTTACCAAAGAGCACTTCAATCAAACAGATAATTTGCGGATTCACTTTCATTTACTTAGAGAAGTTCAACTAAAAAACACTTCATTTTTGTAATCGAAATAAATTCATTACTGTTGTATAATAAAATCAAATTTTTCCTTTTCAAATATAAAACAAACAAAAAATTTCTTCATCTTTCTCACGAAACCATCTGGTGGCGAAACGGAGTTTGTCGAGTTTGCTAGTATTATTTAAAAGTATTTATCGGGATCTTAAAATGGAATGTAAGCTAATAAAGTTTTAACCGGAAATGATATATTATTTTATCTAAAGCTTCAGATTTTTAAAGTAATTGAATCAAATAAATAGATTGTTTAAATCAACTTGATTAGTTCTTTATAAATATATATTGAAATAAGGGCTTTAACTGCAATTAATAATATAAATCATCACACTATTAATATGATTATATTGAATAGATGCGATTTGTGATTATTATGTTTTGCGTATGTGCCAAAATGTTTAATACATATGTAACAATATTTATTATTTTTATTTATTGTTTTTGTTTACTTTTGATTTTTTATGTCCCCGACTAAATATTGTTACACAACAGTTACAAAAGTTATAACCATAGTGAAGTATTAAAAAAAAATACTGGAAATTACTGGCTGTGTTGTTATTTTTAACGTGAAGTAATTGCACAATCTTTAAGTGTAATTGCTATTATTGTATGAAAGTTAAAGCTTAAATAAGAATAAAAAATGTGAGTAATTAAATGACGCATATCAGATTTAAACATATCAGCTTTAACATTTATTTAAAAAAATGAATAGTTATAGATATTTGTTAAATGTAGCAACTAAATTTGATATTGATCGATTACCATGTCTACAGCTAAATGTTTACAGCTTAAGGAAATATATCATTAAATGTTGATTATGCAAGTAAATAATTCGAATGTAAAACGTGTATCTTTAAATTCAACTAATACATTGATAAGTTTTTGATATTAAATACTAATTAATTAATTGCATGCATATATTTTAATATACAGTAAGCTGCTATTATGATATGGCTTTGATCGATGTGAGTGGCTTTGTAGTTGGTTTTAGTATCTAACATTGCGCTGAATAATAGATATTATTTTAATTCAATACGTGGCGTTTCAAAAGACAACTAAATTTGTGTTTATGATGCTGTGCCTGAAAGTAAATTGGCTGAAATTTAAGTGTGATAAACAAATGTAAGATCATCGTCAAATGTGTGACGAGTAAAATTTGTAAGCCAAAGTAAATATTGATACGAAACCAATAAAATACTTAAAAAATATAAATTCATATGTTTTTTAAACTTTTTTCGTATTTTCGAAAAGCTTTCTTGAAAACCAATATGGGCACTTCATGCAGTCGTATGAAAAGAATATTTCGTATAATCCTATTAGGTTTATTTGTTTTATTACATACACTTCGTATGCAGAGTCTTATCAATGATTAGGGTGATTAAATATCAAATACATTTACAATTTCTTTAGATCCAATAAATTTATTCAATATAGAATATAATTAAATTGAATGCTGCTACATAAATCATTGATGTATGTTATAGGTCCACCTTATGCGGTCCCTACCATCGCATAAAAAAATAGTCAATATGTCGTACGAAGTGGTTTATTATATGCAAAAATTAATAAATATTGTGAATATTAATTTTTGATCGATTTCTTTTATACGGTCCCAAAAAACGCACAAAATTATTAAAATATGAAAAGTTTTTTTATTTTTATTATCAATTATTAATTATTATAAAGGTAATTATCATTACTTTAAATATAAAAAATGAAATAAATTTTTGTAATGTTTGCTACTGAATAATTTACGCCGCTGCTCTAATATAGCTTTTGTTTTTTTATAATATGCAAGGAAAATGGTTTTTATAAAAATATGATCTAACTGTATTTTATGGCTTATAATATTATGTCTACATTATAAGATACAATTTCAAAATTAACATGTTTAATATGTTCCTAAATAAATTTTGAATCACACTATAACGTTTCAATCGTAACAGTTTTGAAACGGATGTATTCAACGTGTAATATTAAATGTGATTTTGAAATTAATTTGCCAATTATATTTTAATAAAAAGTTATAACAATTTTTGTATTTGCTGGTATATATTTTATTTAATCCTTTGGTTAAGAAAGTTTATGTAAAGTTATCAAAATATCTTAATAATGTTTTCTTTTGAATTTTGCTGAACATATGCAGATAATAGCTTTGACTGTTGAGAAATTTTAAAATTTATTATTTCTTTTTTTGCTTTCAGCAATCCAAAGGCTACAGTGTTGAGCGAATGTTCAGAATGCAGCACAACTATCACATCAGCACAGGAACAGCCGGAGCAGATTCAAAATATTACTGAAAATACTGCATCGACAGTCACTGAAGTTAACAATGTTGAAATTTTATCTGCAGAGAACAACACATCTGAAAACATCACCAGAATAGATGATATAGGGCTAATTCAAGAGGAATCGACTGAAGAAGTATTATCGAGATCTTCTTTGACTGTGCAGGTTAAAATAATATAGTTTATACAAGAGTAATTTATGTCTTGTATTTTTTTACTTTATATTGATTCTTTTCAATATATGCAGTACATACAATAATAAAATTTTATTTCAAATAATTACAATAAAATTACAATTTATTATATCTTACAATTTATATTAAAAGAAATGAGGTTTGTTTCATTTAAGAGACATGTAGAAGGATATTTTTTCACAATTTTGAAAATCTCTTCTGAAAGTATTTTCGGACCATTAAACTTTTAAATTGAAGAAGAGGAGCCCTGTTTATCAAACTTATTTATTTATTTCAAGTTGGCGACGTTATTGATTAATTTTAGTTATTGGGGCCGTTTGCTGTGCCAGCAAATTTTATGTTTGAGTTGCTTAATATTGCATAGTTGTTTGAAATATCACTTGTTGTTTTAAATTCTTTATCAATAAACAATTTATATACCATTTTAATCATATGAAAAGCAGCTTAAATTGATGTTTCCTTTAATTAATTATTAATATATATATATATATATATATATATATATATATATAAATCATTTGACTTTAAAAGTCGGGCGTTACATCAATAAAAAATAGTATGAAAATTTTTAGAAATTTATTTATAATTCATTTGTTTCAGCTAGCATCTTAGCCTTCATTCATTGGCAATCAATTTAACTATAAAAATTAAAACTAAAGAAATAATATGTAAGGAATTTCATGGAAAAACAATAATAATAATAAAAAAAAACTTACTTACTTTTTTACTTAGAAATATTTTCTACATTTTGGGAAATATTATGATAATATATGAAGCAAAAATCATTTTCTTAAGCAAATTCTTCGAGTTTTCCACTTTATATATGTTTATGATCGTCAATCTTTTTTTTGTTGGTCTGTCATTGTTATTCTTGTTGCTAGTTGTATGTATTTAATGTAATCATGTTAAAGATTGAATATGTTTTTAGGAAAGACGAGAGCCGCTGGGAAAGAGTTTAGGGCATGCAGTGGTCAGTGATGCTGAATCGGAGTCGGGCATGGATCCTGGTGCCATTGCTGGAATTTCTCTCGGTGTGCTCGCGATCGCTACGTTGGCTTCGGCAGCCAGCTTCGTCTTGTATCGCACGAGGTATTTGAACAACCCACAAACCCTGAGCGACAAATGCAGTAATCCCGATTCCAGTGGATACATTGATGACAGCACGATGCGGGTAATTTATCCTCATATTACTTTATAACTTATGTTTCTGAAATTAACTACGTCGCCGGATATTTATATTCAAGTCATACTGAATTATTGTTTAGCGACAAAATTTAGAAAGCATGTGTATGTCAATGCAAATTTTGCCTTTGAGAAAATGCCAATTTTCTCAAATACGGCTGTATTGATTTTAAAAGTTCAAAAGCTATTTGAAAAACTTTATAATAACTCAAAATTATTATGCTTTAAATTCTATATAATAAATAGTTTTTGAAATAAAATTTGAACTGTTCGAACATTCTTTAAAGGTTGTAAACAGATAGGTATATGGCGATCAAACCATTTTGCAATTAATAGATGAAACATTTTTTTAGCAATTTTCAAAAAATTGTCTATTTAGTTTTAAATGAAAATTACATGTATTCAACTGTTAAAAACTTTTAAACTTTGATAATTTAATAAATTAGGAATTTATTAAATTTTATGTTATATTATATATATATATATATATATATATATATATATATATATATATGTATATATTATATTATTTATATATATATATATATGTGTGTGTGTGTGTGCTTAGCATGTGTTGATGATTATGCATAACTAATTGTTTTTATTATTTCAGGAAAATTCAGAAGAAATGTACAGTCTTGACAATGATTCCTTCCTCAATTCACTGGAGGCAATGACTATTCAAAATTACTGGACTGATAGTGTCAAACATACTAAATTGTAATGTGGCAAATTTATATTTAAGATTAACTTTATAATTTATAATTTTAACTACTTAAAAAGTACATTACATTATTTTATTAGAAACTATTGATATGTCACCCGAAATGCTGATAAAATATGATTGTACTTGAGTGTGTTCTCATACATAATTAGTTTGAGAGCATGTATTATATTTTCTTGAATGGTTGTGATATAGTTTTCAAAGATATGGCTTAAAATTTTTGTTAATTTTATGTTGTGATTTAGTTGTACTTAATAAAGCATTTTTATTTTTATTTATAACAGATACCCAAAGTTTATTTGACTACTGTAAAATCTTCAATATTATAGAAGGGCAATTTTCTATTTTTTAATTTAAATAGAGTATTATAGAACAATATATATTTATAAATTGAAAAAATGGTTAAACCATGAAATTCTGACAGTATTATAAATGTTGTAAATCTATTTTGATGTATTTTAGATTTATATAAATCAAAATATGTTTTAAAGTATATTGGATTAATGGTAGTTTAGGCAGATTAATAATTAATTGGAAGATCCAAATACATTTCACAATTATATCATATCTAGTTATAATACACATATTGAAACAAATTTACATGTTCTATTATTACTATTATGTTATTCGATCTGGCAATTGTGAGATCAAAAAAAAGTTTTTTATGATTAACAAAAGAATTAATTTATTTAAAATTATAGGTTATTATATATATATATATATATATATATATATATATATATATTCGTAATTATATAAATTTACATATATATATAAATTTTGTAAGTGTTTATGAAACATGATGAAATAACAAATGCATATATGCGCCTAGCTAGTATTCCACAATTCTGTTTTCAACACAGAAACCCAGAGCAGGTAATAGCATAGGACTTTAACTTCATATCATCATTTTTAGAATTACTATGTTAAAAATTATTGTCGACGAAATCCAATTTTGTGTGTACACGTTTGATAGTAAAATATCATGTCTAATTGAATCACACTTTAATTTTAATAACTCATTATTATTGTGGCATTAAGAAATAATAAATCATCAATCTATTGAGTGAAATATTTCTAGACTAATATTGTCGAGAAGTGTTTAACATATCAAATCTTATATGAACATTTAATTTTTTTGTGTATTGTAACAACAGTTTTCTCAAATTATATATTTATTTACAGCTTTTTATAATTTATGTAATAAGGTACAAAACATATCTGGGTATGACAAATCTAATAAATCATATTTCTACAGACCGCACATGCATTGAAGATTGGATTTGAGTATAGTGCCAGTTGTTCAGCTCGACAAGCCTTTTTTGTATTTGAGATACAGTGCATTAGATATTTTAGTTACATAAATAAAAAAGTATAAATTTATCATCTCAAGACATAACTATAGTTTTTTTTCATATTTATTGTTTAATTACAAAATAATTTTTATTTTTAGTTGTATTCCTACTTGCTGAATGATGGATAACAGAAAAAATAATTTCAAGTTGGTTGCAAAAATCTTAGAAATATATTTCAAGATCGAAAGAAATATGTAAAGTATATATTAAGATTAAAAATTGAGAAGATAATATAAATAATAAGATTTTCAAATTATAGGTGATATATATATTTAGTTATTATTTGCACACAGGCATCGTGATATGTAGAACGTTAATTTAAAAAGAAACGGCGTAATTTTGATTAATTACTTTTATTTGAAATGAGCGCCATCCCACGATCGTGACAGTGGCTGCAACTGTCAATTATGAATTATGACCAATGACATTTGATCTATCTGTTGCTATCACTCGTTATTTGAATGAGTTGTTTCAACTAAAATAAATAATAATTTAAGAAATATTTTTGATAATGGTGCGTGCATGGTATATGGATGACGAAGAAACTGATCAGCGTTTGGAACATCACAAAACTCCACCGGAATATGTGGATATGGCAGATGTTTTTGATAGAACTGGTGTTGAATATTACAAGGTTAATTTCAATGTCATTTTACATTATTCACAAATCTTATAATAATCAATATATTATTATGCCATCATGACAAAGTTACATTTCCAAAGCAGTAGGTATTGAGGGGTTTATATTTTATCTCACTAAAGTAGTACATTTAATTTGGCTTATTAGTATTGTTACTTTCATATAAGTTAATTGTTTGTCTCTTTAAATATGGATATGTAGTTTTGTTAGTTTTTGCAAAGCTTCCTCTAGTTTTTAATTCCAATAAAACATCTGAAGTCTAATTTAATTAAGCATTATTTGCTGAGAGTAATCATTCTACTTTAAACTCGACATGATCATGTAAATTCAAACTTTAGAATGCATTTACTGATATTTTAATCAATATTCAAATTCTATTCAAGATTAAGTGTGAGTCAGCTAAGTATTTTTATGTTTTAAGAGATCTCGGTATTAAATTTCTCATATATCTAAATCTAAGATATTTACTTTTTTACTTCACTTAATGATAAAATGAGTTTTGCTGCTAAATGTACTTGGGAATTCATAACTAAACCTTTCAACTTTTAATCATATTTTTTATTTTTAAGTCATCCTTTCCTAGAAGTAAATCACATACTAGTCTAAAAATACATACTAAATTTATTGTATGGAGTTAATTTTTATTGCTTTACAAATAATGATGAATTTTAATTAAAATGCTTCTTCAACGTTAGCCTACTTTTACTTACTTACTACAACTTTTTACTTAATTTTTGATGAAATTAAAATATCAAAAACATCAGAAATGAGTCACTCACTTTTGGGCAGTTATTTCAAGTATTTCTATTAGAATTTTTACGTCATTTAATAGAGTATACTTACGCAGTTTTTATTATTCTTGAATATAATAGAAAAATCTTTATGAGTATCAAGGTCATTGATCTCCTTATATGTTTTAGATGTCAAAATTTGATTACTTTTGAAACTATCATATGAACTTTCTCTCATACTTTTTCTTGTAAAGTATCTAATCTCCTTCACCTCTTTGTAGATAGATCACTTACATTACCAGACCGATGAAGTTTTATTGAAGCTAAAATCAGATAGAAATTATACTTATGAAGATGACATTACTTGTTCTCCTGAATGTTTAAAGAATTATGAAACAACATTGAAAAGCTTTTTTAAAGAACATTTGCATACCGATGAAGAGATTAGACTGGTTTTAGAAGGATCTGGATATTTTGATGTACGAGATAAAAGTGATAAATGGATAAGAATTAATGTTGTGGCTGGTGACATGATAATAATTCCCAGTGGGATCTATCATAGATTTACCATGGATATGAAGGTAGTTTATGAAATAAGAAATTTTCCTATAATAAATAAAACATATATATACATATATAAATTTAAATTATATTTTGGGGATCAATTCTGCCGCATAGCAGACCAATGTTATGGCAAAGCTATGTTATGAAAAACTTGCCATACAAATTCCTCCTAAAAACCACACAAATGTCAAAAGAATGATGGTAGATAACAGGGTCTTTTTGACTCAGCTTCATAACATACAAGTTACATTGCAGTTTTTGTGTAAAACGCCTGAATGCACAGCAAATACATGATAATCTGACAGTATTCAGTATAATTCAGTAGCATAATGTATGGAAGCTGGACCGTAACATGGCCTTGCCATAACATTTGTCTGTTATGCGGCAGAATCGGTTTCTTAATCAAAGGATTAGTGGCAATTATGTGGGCATAGGTTGATATTTGAAATAGCTGAAGCAATTTGTGTAAAACATATTTTATATTTACAATATGCTTTATTTTAATAAAGCATATTGCTTTAACATTCCATACATTTTTACTTTTTTTTTCACTGTGTGATTGAATAGATATATATTCTTTATTTTATTTGTAAAAGAGTAGATAGATGATGAAGAACAATTCTGTGATTCTTTTGGTTCTTCATTTTTCATATGCAATAAATTCATAATGAAGAGTGTTAACTCTCATTTTCTCATTTTAGAATTACATAAGAGCAAAAAGATATTTTGTGGGTGAACCTGTTTGGGTACCATACAATAGGCCTGCAGATGACATGGAGTGTCGAAAACAATATCTTCAGAAGCTAAATGCTGCTGCTTTTTGATAAAATAACAAAATACTATTGAAGTCTCTCTTATTACCTTTTTTAAATATACATTTGTGAATAGTTACTTTATAAAAATTAATATATATATATAAAAATGTTACAACTGAAATATAGTTATCTTTATACATTTTATGAATAATGAATTGTTTTTCTTGCATTCAAAATTTTTAATCAGGACTCAGTTTAACAGCATACATAGATAATTTTTTTTAACTTCTTACTAAACAAAGATTAATTGCATAATAATTTGCAGAAAATTAAAGTTCAATTAATGTTGTTTGGATGAAGTTGGTGATAGCAATTTCTGAAAACTGTGAATGTGAATAAATCCACATTGGAAGTATTTATCATAAACTGGAAAGAATGTATTAGATGTTTTTATCATTTAAAAGGTTTTGTTAATTGAGCAGGGACTTAATTTTTTCTTTTTATTTGTTATAATGCTATGCTATTTAAATATGTATATTATATGTAATAATGTAGACATACTTATTTTTAACTTTCCAGAGAACAATTGTTTGTTTTTATTAAAAAACCAGTTTGCAAATGCTATGTATATTCGAAGTCAGTTTGAATCATTCGGCACACAAGTTGGTAGATGCATGGCTATGTGAATATAAATTTTGACTTTTAACAAAGTTTTCGACGGCTGCGTTGATTTGAAAGATATAAATGCCATTTCATAAATCTCGAAGACTAGTGTTGATTAAATCGGCAAGTTGATCAGTGGAATTGCTTATTATAATTAAAAGCATATTTTGTTTTTTTATAAGTATGAAAGTTTGAAACTATTTAGTAGTTGCCACTGCTTATGATACATTTCAAGGAAATTTTTGCATCCAAATTCTTCATAATTAATAGATGAAATCTAATTTTTTACACATTTCATCTTTATTCGTGTATGGAATTCTTTTTGATATTGCAAGATATTTGTGCAATTACATTATGGAAAAATGTTGCTTACACCTAATTATCATATTAATAGCTGTTCTAGGCATAGCATATTATTGTAGAATATGATTAAGTTGTATGAATATTATTAATTCAGATGCATTTGATTGGAATCACATGCTAATTTTGAAAGATTAGGTGTAAATGTTAAGTAAAGAAATCCTGTAAAGCTTTTTTATCTGAATCTTTATTTGAACGAGTTTTATAATTATGCATAAAAAATATTTTTTTATGTTTGGAAGTTGGTTTTCCGATTTTGATTATAGACAGATTGTTCGCGTTAATATTTCATTCCATCGGTGACTAGTAACGATGACGAATCTTGTGTTTCTATTGCAAATAAAATCTCAATTTAGTATGTTATCGTAAATTTAAATATATCTAATTTACTAGTGTCATAATTTCTGTTGTCATCTTTTTAAATTCCCGGTTCGAGTACTAGATTTTCGGTTGCACACTGTTTATATGATTCGTGTCATTGCTTACTTGATCATGGCTGTGTCACTGTTTTTCTAGCTCGCTGAACGATAATAACGAAAATCAAAGTAGGCTTTAACAACAAAACACTATTTCAAAATTGTGCTAACCAAAATTTAAAATCTCCAAAAAAAGTTTAAAACGTTTATTTTTTAAAAAACCCAAAAAAGTACTAATAATTTTCAAAATTTTACAAGTGTTTGTGCTGCGTGCGAGGAACTATACAAGGTATAAATATAGAAATTATTTTATTAATTTAGTGTATTTTTTGTGTTTTTTTGGGAATCTCGTGACTGTCAAATTTTCAAAGCGTTGACCGATTAATATTGAGGTTGAATATAGTGCATAAGGGTGAATTCCAGTGTTTTGTAAACGGATCAATAAATGGGAAACCGGGTCAGACGATACTCCGCTGCATCTGAAATGCTCTTTTCGAATCGATTGCCGAAAATTATAATAGTGAATAATTAGACATTTTCCAATTAATTAACAATTAACTTAATTAATTAAATAACACAATTATTCGAAATATTTAATTTTTTATTTTACTAGTTTGCAATTAGCAAGATTCGGCGCCGGTATCTGATTATTAAGCAAGTTGATGGTGAATTGATATTTTTAAATTTATTTTGTGATTTAAAATAATAGGTTGTCAAATATCTCCCTTCCGCCTTTTTGTTTTATAAACCAAGAGCAAAAAAGCGGAAGGGAGATATTTGACAACCTAATATATGTATAATTTTTGGAGAGCCATTGGAATGATTTAGTGAAGTTATTTATGACAGAAATTGGACTTTTTATTTCAAATAAAAATATGACAATTATTTGTTATATTTGCATATGTACGTAATAATTTTCTTTTTTATATTTTTTATTTTTGCTATTTATTCAACAATTGGTTTTGGGGTAATATAATTTTATTATTATATTACCTTATTGATATATTATGAATGTGAATTGATTGTACTAAATTATTAAACTGCAGTTACATGTAAACATTTTACAATATAGCAATATAAAGGTTTCCATGTAAGATTATTATATATTCACAATATTCAATATATAATGATCAATAGGTTTTCTAGTTGTTATTCTTGCGTTTAATGTAACAATTTTAATGATTTGTTTATCAAGAACGCACTCGATAATATTTTGAATTGTCAATATTTTGTATTTTCAAATAAAATTGAAATTTTGAATTAAATTCAATTAATTAATTAATATCGATCGTATTTATATTATAAAGCAAAATGAAAGAAATGTCATGTATATATTATGATGGCGCTTGATTTAACCATAAAATTGCACATGGCAGTCTGTCCTATTGATCATGCGCATTTCTGAATTGCAATCGTATCTAATGTATTTTGTATCTAATGTATTATAATGTTTTGTGTATTTTCAGATCGCACGAAATTATTTTAGAAGTTCGTTAAATCAATCAAAAAAGTGCTGTTGTCCCTTTAACAAGCTATGTTCGCTCTATGGTACGCAGTGCTGGCTCTGGATGAAATAAGGTTAGTGATAATTTCTTTTCCTAATTTATTAAATTGGATATATTTTCATAATTTCGATTTAAATCCGATGTAAGTAAATACATTTTTACGATCATTCAAATGATTGAAAAAAATCGTGTGAATGAATATTATCAAAAATGAATATTATCTCGTTGAATTGAAGTTCCTACTAGGGTTTGTCCCTAAAAATGATGAAATTCGAAAACCAGTTTTTAGCGGAAAAAATCGGATTTTACTGTATAAATGGAAAATGACAAATATACTAAATGAAAGCAAGCGTTTTGATACTTGGAATTATATCGGTTCGATAAAATTTGGAATCATATTAGTCTGTTATATTTTCCAGAAAGGTTCTGTGTTATTTTTTGTCTAATGTATCCATTAATTTAGATTATTATTAATGCAATTTCTTGTTGAAGGAGTGAATTGCTCTACTCAAACTTTAAAACAAAAGTTTTTAGCCTTAGAAGCCACAAATAAAAGAACAAAATTTTCAGAATTATTATATCACGCTTTAGCCTAGTTCGGTTGCATGTGAAAGAGTAATTTCTATTTCAGAAAATTTTGTGAGTAAACAAAGGTCACTTCTAAATAACAAATCAATAGACGTCTTCAGCTTTTATATTTTATTAAACCAAAAAATAATTAAATATTTCAAATTAATTAATTAAAATTGTTCGGAATAGAATAAACTCGGGGTTTTGTTAATTGTTTTTAGAACTAAAATTGACATTAACAAATATGTATCAATATGTATCTATTTTTTTATGTATGTATTATTTATATTTGTTCGAACCCTTTTCTTTCACTATCATTTTTACACGTTTTTCACAAGTATTTATATTCTCACATGTGAAAATGCATAATCATTTTCAAAATTATTTAATCCAGATCAACTACTATTAATTCTTTGTTCTACTAATTAAAATTAAAATATATTTGTTTACTATTCATAAAATTGAATATTGAATAAATTCAGTCAAAAACTGCTTTAAATCACACTAAAGTTGCTGATATTCTTTTTTGTTATTACAGAATATTCGAGCAAGAATTGATTTTTTATATAAAATTTAAAAACCGGCTAAAACCGGTTTTCTGCGAAATTTAAAATTTGAAAACCGGTTTTCTGAAATGTCGGTTTTTGTATAAACCCTAGTTTCTAATATATAAATAAAAATTATTGTTCTACTGCAAACCAGTGCCATTTGCTCTTCACTGAATAATTCTCAGGTTTAGCAAACTTTTATTTGTATATTCATTTTTTTTCTTGAACATTATAATGGGATTCATCAATCGCAATGAATATGATTTTGTAAAATAACAATTGTTCAGTTTTTTAACCCTTACCGAACAGCACCTATTTGAAAATAATCTGCCAGCAATTAGGTGTCGCATTCTGACAAAAACCGTACCTGTTAAACTTGATCTTATTGTGTATGTTATGCAATTTGCTTGATATGAATTTACGGTCATTGATTAACATACATAATATCTAGATTTATTTTCTGCAGCATGTTAAAGTTTAAAGCAATTTCCAAAAGGCATAGTGTTGATTATAATTAATTGTCGCAGTTTGTGTTAAACATTCGAAGTGAACACATCGATTGCGTAACAAAATAAACACGTTAAAAATCCAGGCTTGCCTGGTATACATTTATAATAAAACAGTTATTTTAATAACTATATAATGGAGTGTGTTAAACCGAAAAACACACTTCTATTTAATTTCAAAGTAATTGAAGGAATAATTTCGCCATTAACTGCTCATTTGTGGTTAAAAGGAATTTTAAATAGTATTTATGAAGATGTCAGCTGTATATACGGAATATCCATGGAAAATAAGGTATTAAATGTGAAATTTAATAATGAGAAAATTATAAATAAAATTAAAAGTAAATATGAAACTAATATAAAATTTAAGTCCGATAAAAATCAGTGTTATGAAATTGAATATAGTGAACCTAGGGAACCGCCACAGTGGATAAAATTGTTAAATGTACAATGGGAGACATCGGAAGAACAAATAAGGAAAATAATGTCAGAGTACGGCAAAATATTAAAGTACCA